AATGTAATTATTTTAAACAGGAGTTGCTCTCTTCTTTCCCATTGAAGAATTCTCTCTTAGAAGTTCATTTTTTTTGTCTCCTCAATAGCCTGTGCTTAGTAGTGTTTCTCCATCAAGTTCTAGTTTGTTGTACTTTTTTTTTTAAGCTTTCTTATCCAGATGAATCTTTTAGCAGGAACCATTTCTCCTGAAATCTTTATCATTTCATCAAGAGTTATAAAAATGTTACCTTCCCTTCCTTATTTGTTGCAGAATTTAGGGACAAGGAGGAAGACCATACATGTTTTCTTAAAATCAATGGCCAGCACATTACTGTAAAACCTATTGATTAAAAACACAAAGTATAATGTTAGTCATTTAGTCTGTGAAGTGATGCAATAAGGGAAGAAATTTATCCTTTGACTTTTGCATTAACCTTTTATTGACTGCTTGCATACCCATAATTAACACACACTTTAGCTCAAGTGGTTAATTTTAGCATGGCGACCAGTGCTCACTAATGTAGCTGCAGTCCTGATCCTCCAAATGTAAGTGCAGCCCTGGGGAAATCAGTGGGCAGTGCGGCCCTGTGGGAGGAACGGGGGAGCCTGCTGGACAGTCTGCTACCAGGCCAGCCGGTGTGACACCTTCAGTTACTTTCTGTTATGTCACTAGGTCATTCAAGGAGAACCAGGCCTGAGTAGCACGAATTTTGGGATGGCTTACAGGGTTCTTTGAATCGAAAGAACGTGAATTTGGGAGGGAGAGAGATGAAGTTAATATTATTTTCCTTTGCTCCCCTTGCAGTATTTCATGGAAGGGGCGGGGTTTTCTGAGTAGATCCAAGTTTATTTGCTAACCCAAGAAGCATTAAAAATACGATTTCCCAGTAGGAGAGGAGTAGAGAGGTCAGGGTTGAAAGGGGAAACAGTAACTTTCTCACTGTTTTGCTGAGTGCAGAATGATCTGTCCTGGGGAACACTGAGTTTAAGGGAATTTTTTTACCTTTCTTCAGAAATCTCATCGAGCTCTGGTCACTGAAGCTGACTCATTTTCATGCAAAGGCTGGGTAGGGTGTCACCTGAGATCCCTTGTTTTCTGGGTAGAAAGGTGTCCCAAATAGAAATATTATTTGAACCAAACCCAGAAGCCAGCTTGCCCATGCTTTCATACCCACGCAAGGCCCTGGGTCAGCAGCAGCCCCTCGGTTTGCCGTGAGGGCTGTCAGCACCCACTGGCCGGCGGGGCCGGGGCCACGGCTGCTGGAGCAGACTGGAGGAGTGGGGAGCCAGGAGGCTGGGCCAGCTTAGTGGCTCTTTGGGTTGCAGGAAAGCCTGGCTCAAACAGTAACAGCTCATGAAACTGAAACACCTAAGCATCCCTCACTTTAAGTGAGGTTTGATCCAGCTACTCAAAGGATAACACCCAGGGTCCAGCCCCCTGCTGCGTGGCAGCAAAATGGCCAGGGCGGTTTCAGATCTACATCCCAGTAGCTGAGAGGAGACAAGAAAGTCTTTTCCCTTACCTCCCATACCACTGCTCTGGTTTATGTCTCATTCTCGTTCCCAACTGGGTCATGTACTTCGCCCTACACCGTGTCCTGTGGCTTGGAGAGTGGGGCGTGCTGATTGGGCTCAGCTAGTCGAGGCTTTTCCCTGGCTGGAGAGGTGGAGCCAATCCCACCCAAGCCTCGTGGCTGAGCAGGGAGAAGGGATGGATTCCCTACAGGAAAATCAGAATCTTCTTGGTGGGAAAGGTGGGATTCTACATGAGACACAAATGTTCACCACAGCCGGTATTCCTAAAACATTTCTCAAGTGGATTTGGGGCCCCTGCATTTTGCAAGAGACTATAAATACATGCAGTAAGAAACCATCTGGTGAATGCCAAATCAATCTGAAACAACCACCACTTAGAAAGTCCGATGACAGTGCCTTTCTTGAATTCTAGTTCCTCAGGAGCAACTGCCAAGCCTTTCTGAATCTGAGTATCTTAGCCTGCCCTTGCAAAGTTGTAGCAGCTTGAATACATAAGCCTCAGCATCCCAGAAAGTCACATTGTGATAGGATTCAGCCACAGGCTCAGTTTGATTTAAGCCAGAAAGAGCTGCTTCTGTATCTCCAGTGCTTCCCTAGAAAGAGCCCGTCGGGAGGCCATAGGTGCCGCCAGCGTGGAGGGCAGGACTGGCGCGGGTAGCAGGCAGCCACTTATGGGCAGCTCTTGTGCGTCCAGCACTAGTACTAGAAGTAAAAGCAATGATGGTCATAATAATATTTAATACTTGGTGAGTGCGACCATGTGCCAGGCAGTGTTCTAAGCATTTTACCTGTATTAATTTATTTAACCTTCGCAAACAACCCATAAGTAAGGTACTGTCACTATCATCATCTTTCCCACTTGACAGACAAAGAAACTGAGGTTCAGCAAGGGTCAGAAACATGCCCAAGAGGTCATGCTCTAGGAAGCAGCAGCTCCAGGTATGCAGAGAACCCCTCATACCTGCCTCAGTCTACCTACTTCTTTACCTTAGGAAATTGACACCTCAGAGAGGCAGAATGAGGGATTTGAGATTGAGAAAACCCAAAGGGGGATGTGCCTTCAAGTGTTCTCAGCTCCTTCTTTTTCAAGTCCATAGTCTGATGTGCTGTTGAATCAGACAATATAATTGGAGTTGGGGGGTGACTGTCCTTCTGGTAGGTAAATACAGCACCTCAAACAACTAGCTCTCTGCCAGCTCCAGTGGCTACCATTTGGAAATTGGCAAGGAGCACTGGGCATTGAAGGAAGGGTTTCAAAGTGACCTTGAGAGATCTAAGACCTTGAAGAAACACAACCAAGAGTTTTACCCTTAGTCAGAGGAGGCAATGAATACACACAACCCCTAGCCACCAGGGCCTGCATGAAAACAAGGTCCCACACCAGTCAATTCTTTGATGGGAAGAACAATGGCAGAAAATCACAAAGCAGACTTTTTCCAAAATGAAAGCTAGTGGGCTTGGAAGCTTATACAACATGGCATATGTGCAACAGAATTTAATATTTTTAATACTCTGTCAAAGTGAGGGGGCAAACCTGTTTGACAGGTGAAGAAGGATCTCTATTGACTTTTCACAAACCTTATGATATTCTAGGTGGATCAACACTTATCACAGCCCTTTAATCTGCCAACCAGGATAATGTGTGCACAGATAATTTATCCGCTGAGAGATTGAAATGCTCAATTTGGAATAACTTTCCCTACCTAGTAAATTGAGCATTACTCTGTGATGCTGAGGTGAAGAGATAGCACAATTTTAAAAGCGTTGCAGAGTTCCTTTGTAATTAGTCGCAGCTTCCCTTGAATATTAATTCCCCTCCATCCCTTTCATGTGATTTAGGGACCGTCTCTAGCACTGCAGAGATGCACATGGTCTCCGACACTTACTAGGAAGTAGTGCGCGGAATGCTCCCTCTGTTCTTCGGTGCTATGTGGGGCTTATCAGTGCAAACAGTTTAATATTTATGCTAAGAGGATTGTCAAAAGCAGCTTCTGTTGCTTTAATTCTTGTTTTAAATAAATAATGAGAACATTTAAACACATTACTCTTCTTGGGGCCCTGAGGTCAGCTAATCTTATTATTTATGAAGTGATGTGCTACATAATAGTACTTAGTGCATGTTAACAGACGCTATTATCAGGGCCTGATGCGGAGAGCTGAAGATATATTGCAATGTTACGTGTAATGTACGACGGATTGAGTGCATGGGATGCCAGCGTAGCAATTAACCACATGAGAAAATAGGTGTAAAGGTGAAGTATGTTTTCCCATGGGGATCCCCTCACCATTAATAATTCCCCAGAGAAGAAGATGTCTTTTAGTTAGGAACCTTCCCTACCATCAGGCTTGGAAGCAGGGCCTCCTGGATATTCCATTCTTTGTGAGATATTTCCTTCTTCAGTTAGTCCTCCACAGAAGACAGATAGCAGGATGACCACTTCTTAACTGATTCGGAGCACAGTGCAGAGAAGGGGAGGGAATGAGGGGTGAGGGGGGACCCCTGTCACTCTTCCAGTTGTGCTCATCATATCTATTTTTGGTGCACACACTTTCTCCACCACATGCTCCATGAGAATAGAGAAATGGTTCATTCCTTATTACAATTTGTGGTTCCTTCTTTCCAATCCTTTTTCAGAAAAATAAAGCTAAAGCCATTAGCTTTCCCAGACCAGTTTTAAATAAGCTGGTCTCCCCGAGAGGTAAATGCCTACCAAAGTATGATGATGTGGCCCCAACATTTTTCCTACGAGGCTATAATTTAGTTGCATGTGATAATTAATTTCTCTACTATTGATGAATAATCCATTTAATAAAAACTGTGATTTAAGTGTTTTCCTTAGGGAGTAACTCTTGCTAGCCTCTTAATTTAATTTTGTGGAAGTTTTCCCCACCTCTTCATCAGTGGAAAAGATTATTAACCTCTATTTGCATATATCCTCATAAGTCGGTCTCTCCGCGGAGTGCCTCTTTCTGAGCACAGCAAGCTGGGACACTTGCAAATCTCCAGGATCTCCAAAGTCAATCCTGGTCTGTAATATTGTTTAATCTATTCTTGAATGTTTTAATGCAGTAAATTCAATTTAATCTTTCCCAGTAATCTAGTAATACATCGAAATCCCACAAACATTTAAATCTGATAATGGCTTAATCACACACTTTAAATAACAGTTGAGATAATGAAAAAATAATTCACCATTTTAAGGGCAGAGTAACTGAATTTCCCTGATGATTGGCTTCTATGAAGCCACTAGAGATAACACAAATCTGAGAATTGTAAAAAAAAAAGAAGTTCCAGCACCATAAAGAACAATTCTTCCTGTGTATGAACACCTGCTTTCTGCCTTGCAAACCCACTCTTCCTCATCGCCAGCGCCCTGGAGGATTGTCTCTAGAGCATTTGGCAGTGTTGTGCCACGCTGCCCACGGGTTTGGTTTTTCCAGGATTTCCTCTGGTGGATTAACTGCCTATTCTTACTCTTCCAGGTGCCAGTCACGAATTGCCCGAACTTTACCTGTGGATCAGAAGCCAGAATGTCGGCCGTATTGGGAAAAGGATGATCCTTCCATGCCTCTGCCATTCGATCTCACAGACACTGTTTCTGATCTCAAAGGTCTGCTTCTGGAAGCAAAACCCTAGAAGGTGTGCAAGTCCCAGGTAGAGGAGGAAAAGATATTTTTGGCTTCCTCCCTCTCACCCTTGTCATGAGCTTGGACGAAGGTGATGTAGGTAGACTTGACCTTTAGATTATGGAACCTGAGTCCCAGTTGAAAGCAGCTAAGGAATGGAACCCATGAATATTAAAATGTTTAAAATGACACAGTGTTATAATCTGATTTGTAATGAACTAAGAACCTTCCCCCAAAAACTATTCCCCTGTTGGATTCTTTTATATGAGCTATTCATCTCCCAAGGGCCAAGGCAGCAGGGGAGAGCCCAGAACCTGGCCCGCTTCCCACCTTCCTGAACCTTTTCAGAGACTCTAGACTGGATGATGCCACAGTCACTGGGGGGAGAGCTCAGAGAGCTCACCCAGTGTCTCACCACACCCTTGAGGGGCTGCGCCCTCCAGCATGGTAGCCACTAATTAGATGTGGCTGCTTAAATTTAATCCAATTTGAATTATTCCTCAGTTGTACTAGCCACATGTCGAGGGCTGAGTAGCCACGTGTGGCTCGTGACTCTTGTATCAAACAGCAGACAGAGAACATGTCATCACTGGGGAAAGCTCTGGTGGATAATACTTCTATAAAAAGTGGGAGAACAAGAGATTCTCATTCCCAGTTCTCTCAGCCACTAACCCCATCAGTGAAATAAATTAAAAGAGAAATGACTCATTGAAAGAACTGCCTCTCTCCCTCCTCAAAGACAGACCTAGTGAAAGCCTGAGTCAGTGAGCTCTGCACTCAGCACCCAGGAACGGAGAGGTACTGAACATTAAACTCAAGTTGACATCCTGTCGTTCGGAAGTTTCCCTGATCTAATAAACAGCCCTATTTAGGTGGCTTCATGAAGTTAACCTGCACAGAACGTTTTTCCTCTAATTCCCACATTCATATGTACTGACAAGTGGTATAGAGGCTCCAGGAGCCCAGTGCCCCCCTGACCCCCATGACACTGGCACCTTAGAGAGGTGGTGTGGAGGAGCCCGGATCAAAGCTCCCACAGGCTTGTGACATTTAGCATGGTCCCATGCCTCAGTTTCCCCATCTATACAATGGGGATGTTAAAGGTACCAACTCAGAAGGTGAATATTAAGTGAAATAACTTAGCTGCAGAGTCAGAGTAAATATTAGTGCTGTTATATATTAGTAAGTTGCCCTGATTTAGACGTTTTTCCCTCCCTTCCTCTATCCTTCTGCTAGTTTTGTCTCGTGATGCCATGAACACATGACTCCTGCCCTTTGGTGACCCCAGAAATCGTGAGAATAGCGATTCCCCCCTCTCCCACCCAAGCCTGCCGCTTCTCTTGTAGTTGTTTGCAGTAGTTGGGAAGCTGAAGAGCTGTTATTGCCCATTGAGAGGCACACTGAGATCAACCTCCTGCCTGCCACTCACTTTTCGCTGGTTCACGGTGTGCTTCCACCCCACAGAGTGACCAGCTGGAGGAAGGCCACCTTGTGCAAAGTGGCCAGCTCTCCTTGAGGCTCAGGTCTCTTGGACTTTGCATGAGTCGTCCCAGTTCTTGAGCCTCGATTTCCTCCTCAGCAGAAGGAAGAGAAAATGCTGCCTTGCAGGTTTGCAGTAGAGATTAAATGAGATCATGTAGGCAAGGAGCATGTGGCACACAGAAGTCACAGACCAGAGCCCCCTCAAGGCCACCCAGCCCAGTGTTGTGTTTTGCCCCTACAAAGTTTTTTGTTAGATTTTATAAGGTGTCAATACATACAGATTGAGAGATTTTATGCAAAATGAAAATGTGTGCATTCTCTTTAGACGTCTGAACATCTGGCAGCCCTAGTTGTCCCTCTGGCATGGCAATGAGCTGAGTAGTGTCTTCTCGCTGTTAGGTGGGGTCTGAACCCCCTGCTGCCCTGTTGCTCCCTACTATCACTTATTGTAAACCTCACCTGCTTCACTCCTCCCTGTCGGCACTCTCCAAGCCTGCTTGCTGGCACCCTTCCAGTAGGAGAAAATGACAACATCTAGTGCTTACCCCAGTAGAGGTGCGTTACTGTGGCGCTCTGTTTGTGGACTGCTTGTTGTAATATGTCATGTACATCACAGAACATTCATGAACGATAAAAATATTAAAAGGATGAGATAAAGCAAGAGAGGCTCTGCTCTTTCCTCCTTACCCGTGGGGGGGGGCCTGTTTCTGTGGCGGGGGAGGGACCGGGACCCAGTGGAGGTGGTTCTCAAAGCCCTTCAGGCGGGGCCACATCATGTGCAGCCAGGGTTGAAGAAACCACACTACCCATCATGAACTGGAAATGTGAGATCACATTTTGTCAGAAGAAATGGTGGCTTTCAGTGAACATGAGGCTGATTGTGGTTGAGGATTACATATGCTTGTGGCAGAGAGTGGGTGTCAGGCGAGTAGAAGGTGGGGAGGCAAGAGATAAACGGGCTGGTAGGCTGGCTGGTAGCCCTGACAATCAGCTCAGTCCCTGCAGGGCCAAAGGCAGGCCCGTTTCCCTCTGTGAACTAGTGAAGCACTGTCCTGGGCACACTGGCCCCGTGTGTGGCTGAGGGAGCAGGGAGACCATGCCCCGGGGCCACCTTAAGTGAGCAGCCCCCACCTGCTGAACTGCCAGGCTTCCCCAGCCCCCAGCCCCAGCTGCCCTGACGAAAGTGACCTGAAGAGATTCCCTGCCCCCGCCAGCCTTCCTCCCACCCACCAAGCTTCCTTGACCATCCACCACAGCCCGGTGAATCCAGACAGGTCCCTGCCTCCCGAGGGCTCCTCCGGGCCAGCCCCCATGCCAGCTGCCACATGCAAAGTGACCAAAATAGGGACCCACCCGGTGGTGGGGAGACAGTGAACCAGCAAATAAGTAACAAGATGGTTTCAGATCACAGTGAGTGCCAGGAAGGGAGCCGGCTGGGTGAGGCACACAGCGCAGCTGGGGGGTCTTAGATTAGGAGGTCGGGGAAAGGAAGTGATGGGGAACAGCTTTCCAGGACAGCGAGCAGCTAGTACAGGTCTCTGAGGCAGGAGAGTGCTTGGAACAGGGTGCTCCTGGGAGAAGGCGGGCCACTGCGGCCAAAGCAGAGGAACGAGGCCGAGCAGGGGAGATGCGGTGGAGAGGAGACAGGACCGGTGTGATTTGGCTTCGAGTGCCCCAGTCCTTCATCCCATCACCCCCATTCCCGCAGGACAGCTCCAGTCTGGTTCCCTACCCTGTAGAGGCAAGATGTTCTTCCTGAGATCCTGCCCAAATCCTCCTCCCGTAACTGCGGGCTGGAAGGTTCTTCACAGGGAAGGGTGGGCATAACTTGGGATATTCTCAAGTCCTCGGATGGTGACTCTGGCTGCTCTCTGGGCTCCAATGGGTCTCAGAGCAGGTGGACTCAAGGGACTTTCCCACACCCCAGAGCGACACCTTGAGCTGGAGACAGTGGCCTGCAGCCCCTCCCCGTACCAGGGTGGGTGTCCTGGAGCCTCACCCCAACAGCACCTGCAGCTTGGTGGCTGCATCCACGTCACCTCCACAGAGCCTCAGCCCAGGGGAGTTTGCTAGACAGGAAAGAGCAGGGTCATGGCATCGCTTATGACACAATTTTAGTATTAAGCTTCTAAATCCATCACTAACTAAATCGAGGGATGCTAGAAATGAGATTCCCTGGGCCCTGGTTAATGGGTACCCCACATCCAGTGGAAGATTTTCAGTGTGTTTCAAGGGAGGGTATTTTCCAATGCAACTTTTTTTTTTCCTGCTCTAGTTAAGGCTGATTTTACCACTGGGCAAATTGCATACATTTGGATCCATGCCATGCTAAATACTGTTTATTTTGGAGATCTGTCAGAGGCAAGTGCATGGAAGATGGAGGATTTCTTATTTGAAAAGGCAATTCTCATCCAAATGGATTGAGAAGGAGAGGAGCAGTATGGATTAAAGTGGGCTGCAGTGGCAATGCTGTGTATCCAGTTTGCCTTTGTTACTTTGTGATTAAACGGTATTTTTAATTAAGTTTCATTGGGAGCCATAGGTATCACAGTGGTGAAATCAATTTGACAGCCATAAAGGGGGAGGAAAGGCCCAGGAGTGTTGTAAAGATTGGGGCTGCAGGGATAGCAGGGAAAGCCGGGCAGCGTTGGGAGGCCGGAGTGGGGAAGGGAGCGGCAGGAGAGGCAGCCAGGGTGTCAGCAGGCCAGCCAGGGCGCCTATGCCTGCAGCGGGGCTGGCGCTGGGCTGGGAGGCTGGTTTCAGTGGCTGTCAGGAAAAGGGGTATGCCCGGCTCTCTGGCTCTCCTGAGAGACCCCTATGGATTCCCAGGAACTCCAGGAAAGTGTCTGAAGGGTGTGTTTATCCTTCCTCTTTTGTTGATGAGGAGAATGCATGCATGTCCCTGTGCAGGCTATAACCTGGAAGGACCAGACACAGCGCTGCCCCACAATCCTTCATCCTGTAGGCCTGCTCCCACAAAACAGCTCCAAATCCTATTCTCTATACCCTGTAGCAGCACGGCATTCTACCTGACATCCTGCCCAAATCCTCCTCCCATAATTCAAAACTAGTCCCCTCTGCACTTCCACTGTATCTATCCTGTTACCATTGACCAGATTTTCAGGATCTTCTGATTCTGGCTGCAAACTTCCCGGGTTTGAATCCTGGTTCTCTGGGTGATCCTAAGGCTACCCACCCATGCAAACTTTTGTTTTCTTGTCTCCAAAATGGGAATAATAGCAACGTATCTACCACCTAAATTTGTTGTGACAATTAAATAGCATGCCTATAAAATGCCTCCAGCAGTGCCTGGCCTATGCAGGGCTTCAGTGAGGTGCCAGCTATGAAAATTGCTATCCCAGTTTCCCAGGGCAACAGTTATAGCTCTGTGACTTGGACAAACCCCTTGGCCTCTCTGTGGTCCAGTCTTTGTTTATATAACAGGGTTGGTGATAACACCTCGCTTGACGGACTATTCTGTATCACCAAGATCATGCCTCATTCTTAGTGCCAGAATATTATGTTACCACCCCACATTTTCCCATTTGCTCCTCACAGCATCCATTTTTTTCTCTAGACAGATGGCATGGAACTTTTTATAAATGAGATACTATGAAAAATGATTCCTTGGTATTCCCATTACTACAGAAGGATTAGGTCACCCATTGCAATTTTACATTTGCTTAAAAAATTCTTGCCATCTCCTTCTAATGGATGATCTGTGAACAACAATTGTTTATTGACTCTGAATGTCTAAGTACGAGGGCCAGTCTATTTCAAGGGGAGGGAAGCATTAATTAACTTGCAGCATTAGATTCAGTGATTCTTTTCCAATGATGCAGTTCATGACTCTGCTTGCATTTACTTTTCATCAGTCCTGAAAGAATTGAGGTAAAATAGTTCCTCTGCACATGTGTGTCAAGCTAAATGGATAACAGCAGATACAGATCAGTTTGCCTGTCTGCACTTGCCTTTAGACAAAATTCATCAATTTTACAAAAGCCACTGACTAAACATGGCACCAATACAAATGAAGTACTGCTAGCATGCAAGTTTTCCCTGTTGTTTTTAATCTGGTAAGTGCGGTACCTTTCCTGCTGAGAGATGGAAAGTGCTGGCCTAGGACAGCACTGCGCCCCGGATGGGGACAGAAAGGTCAAAGCCATTCTACAGGAAGTTCAGGGAAAGCCTAGCTGTTCTGGGCCCTGTGTGCTCAGAGCAATTCTGACCAGCTTGGTTAGCTGCAGGAAGGACCTCTGCAGTCTTACAAGGTATTAAAATTGAAAGACCCCAGATTAACATGCCCTTACTGGTGCCAGTTTCAAAGGGACCCTGCTTGTCCTTCCAGCTTCTGAGACAAAGAGAGGGTTTGCAAACTGGATGAAACCGCACAGGAAAAACCTGGCAGCACTATGTGGCTCAGCCTGATTGAGACATTTGGGGAGACTTTGTAAGTGCTAAGACCCTATGCAAATCCAAGGCTTACTATTTATTATTTGCTATTATTTGTGAAACCGATTTAATTTGGGCAGGTAGTGGAAGAGTTTGTGTACATGTTCGTCACTTCTAATCAGGCAAGGCCAGTCTCATGCAGGACTGGTGTATGGCTCGCTTTTGAGGCCATACAAGCATCTGGAGCATGGGGGAGTATAAACACCTCCTGCACAAGAATGGTCTCAAAGAATAATGTTTAAGGCCTCTTGTGAAATTTTTCAAATGCTGAACACCTGGCAAAACACCATACCTGTGTAGAGATACGTTCAGCACGTTGGCACACACAGATGGAGGGAGTGGGCTTTTATTAGTTTCTTTGCAAAACTGCAGTCTCCAATGGAAACCCCTGGTTACCTTTCCAAACAGGGCGTTCTGTTTTTCACTGGGGAGCACGCTCAGTTAACCCAGCAACCCCAGGGCCCCAAAAGGGCTGAGTCCATTTCCCAGGGCAGCGAAAGCTACCACTCCCAACTCATCCAACACAGAAACCTGGACCTCTGGTCACCCTCCTGCCCACTCCCCCTCCCCCAGTACTTCAGACAGAGATTTCCAGTTGATTACGCCTTGATTAGAGTTGGGAAAGAGGCAAGCCAGGTATACTGGATTCTCGTTGTCCTCCCCTCCCCTGCTCCCAACCAGGGGCAGCCCGAGAGGCCTCATGGCAAACATGGGAACAATCAAGCCCTGTTTACCATGGACGCTTCGTTTTCTTCTCTCAAAACCAAAACAGAGTTTAGTAGGCAGCGTATTTCATACATGCCTCTTGATCAATGGAATGATCTGTCAGAAGCCATTAAAGCCCCCATTAGCTTGAATGCATTCAAAGCTAAACTATTGGATCATTTAAGGGCCGCAGTGATTGTTTTTAATATACTGTACATTGATTTCTCCCTGTGAGCAGCAACATAAGTTTGAAACTAACTGTGTATGACTAAGGCTTCATTTGCTGTCTCCAGCCTCCTTGAGAAGCATGGTTTCACTTCGACCAGAAATATCTGTGTATCGTTTTTAAAGAGATGCAGACCCTATTAGATTCCCCCAGTTTCAGACTGGGTTGGGTTGTTATTTTTTTCCCCGAGCTTTCTCCCATTTCTTTGTACCCATTAAGTGAGCTGTGCAGGCAGAACAGGAGAGGCATCCCTGCCAAGGACCCTCAAGTGAAGGTAG